GCGACACGCCGAGTGACACCAGCAGGCCGTGGTTGATGGTCATCATCTCGCCCACCTTGCTCAGGCTCTCCTCGTCCTCCGTGTTGAACCCTTGTTCCTCAATGAGCTGCGCAGAGCTTTGCGTGACCTGGTCGATGGCCGTCAGGATGGTACCCACCAGCTGCGGGTGCTTCTTCTTCAGCGTGGCTACCTTGGCGACCTCGTGCGCCGTTGACTTGGCCGTCCTGGTGTCCACGAGGAGCAGCGGGAGCTTAGGGAAGTCCCACAGGGGGCGCACAGAGGGCGGCTGGTTGTAGTCTGTCCGTTGGAAGACAACCGCCTTGCCCTGTGTTGATACCGTGTTGTCCACGCCCGAGGGGTTGCCGTGAATGAACATCTCGTAGACAAATGCCCACCGGTTGATGCGCTCAATTTGTAGCCTGGCCTCCTCGGGAGGTTGGTCGGGGTGAGGACCGGACAGTGTCCGAAGCTGGAGCAAGAGCGCTGCCGACAGGCAGACGGCGATGGTCGCGCTGCTGCCCAGGCCGGCTCCAATGGGAATCGTCGAGCGCAATGTGTACTGGCAGCCGGGAAACGACTGGGAGCCAAGGGAAAGGAACATGTAGAGGAAGGAGCCGGCCGAGTTCTGGTGCACCTTGCGAATGTCGGCGGGCTTGTCTATCGAGACATCGGCGAGGAAAGGTTGTACGGCGTCAACGAGTTCTTGGTCAATCTCGGTGACGAGACTGTAGTAGTACTTCTTTTTCCCTGGTTGTTGGAAGATCTTCCATGGGAGCTCGTCGATATTCCACGAATGATTGAAGTCGATGTCAGGGAATTTCAGCGTTACAGTTCTCTTGGACTTGGAAAGCGTGTTGACGAGCAGGTAAGATCGCAGCGAAATGGCGGCAGCAATCGCAGCCTGATGAAGAGGAACAACCGTTAGCCTCTGGGAATCATGACCCCCCTTTCCAGCATCACCATGACCTAGGCGCTTGATCGACATACCTTGCCGTGAACGACTGCGTGCTCTCCAAACACAATGACTTTTCCCGGTGCCGAAACCATGAACGTTGGCATCATGGGACTGGACTTTTTGCGTTCCATTCTCTGTCGTATGGGTGTTACCATGCTGTTGGTAGGAGAGCCCCCGTTGACGGCGCTGCTGGCGCTTTCTTCAATCGTCACTCTGAGACCATTACTGGGGTTTCCGTTGACGGCTTCGCTCGCATCACCATTTACGGGTTGGTTTCCCTGCTCGGACTCGGAATGGACTCCATTGACTCCGTTGTGTTCTTGCTCCGCCATGGTCAAAGGTGGTTTTCTTTGTGCGTATGTTGTACGTAATCGACCCGAGCGTCCCTCGGTCTGTGTTCGGCGACAACAATACCAACAATGCTAAGCGGGAGGGGCCCTTCAAAGAGGGGCTCAATATACGAATCCGGCGCAATTGGGTGAACCGTGGAATCGCCAACAAGATGATGGCTGAGTACTAGTTCACGTTGAGGTAGAACTGTGCCGAGGTGCTGATATGATGAAGAGCGAGTCGGCGTAAGGCAACCGAAGCTGCCTAAATAGGTAGAGATATGTAAGATATTGAAGGCCTAGAGAAATTGGGGGCTCAAGACGACAGATTGGTCCTAAAGCAACTGAGGGTATCGCGGCGTAGGGATGTTGGTCAAACAAGCGGGCGAGATGGAGGTTGTTGATGTACTGCCGATCTTTTTCTAGCTCGAGTCTGCAAGGTCCAGATGACGGATATTTATGCGGAGGCTGCGAACGAGTGCAATTGGTGTTCCTGATACGCCAGACGACCACAAGTTACACAAGGTGACAAGTCCCAGTATGTTTGCGATGGAAGCAATCTTGCAGACGTGCCGTGTTGAGGTTGCGCAAAGTGACAGTTCGAAGGCGGCGGGCGCTGTCACGGTGTGTACAGACTTGGGTTGATTGGGTGCCGAGGGGTTGCCAACTTGAGATTACAGCAACTGCGGCGGAGAAGATGGACCCCGTTACGTGGGGATAGCAAAGCCAGAGGCGGGGAGCTGTTATGTACTCCAGCAGAAGAGGGTCAGTGGGCTCTGATATCTCGCTCTTTTTTTCTTCTTCGTACTATTCTACGGCAATGGTGCCTGATGCTATTCTTCTTTCTCCTGCTGTCCGTTACGCCCGAAGCTATCTACGCCTAATCAGAGCTCTTTGCTGTTGGAAATCTCAGCCCACACGCCGAAGCCGTTACATACTTTCCATGCTGAAAAGGGGTTGTCATCATGGACTTTGATTGACAGGGGTGGAGGCTTTTAGCTTTGGATTTCCTTCTCACGGCCGCTGATTGGCGCTTTCTGGCTTCTCAACACGACGCTAGCTTCCGGTGAACTGGACAACGCCTCGAACAGGGAGGGGGAGCATCGGGAGATCACAGAATAACAGGGGCTCAGGACAAGGGAAGCTCTACAGTTCTGCTCCCCAAGCTCAGTCCTCACTCAACTGACAGCTGCCCCATCGTCAGTTGAGTCTAGACTGCAAATGCGGCGCGTGGCATCACCCAGAAACTCGCTTGGTCCAGGACAAACATCAGGCAGGGTCTTGGAGAACAACAAGAAGCTTCAAAAGTTCAAATCTTTGCCATAGCTTTGAATCCCAATCGACATGCACTACGTCGGATGGTCACCTGAACTTTCCTTTGTCTCGTGGGTTTGTTAGCTCATTCCTGGCTATCTCTGGGGCCTTGATGACAGTCTCATTATTGGGTGGTGGGTTCGACATGTTTGTCGAAGTGCATACATGAGTTGGCATCATGCACCGAAACCCGAACACTGGCGATGCCCGACTCTATCAAAGATCGTGGGGCCATTTCTCGTCATGTATACGACATTAGCAGGGATTTGATCAAGACTGTTCAGAGAGTCGCAAGAACAAATCATCGCATACAATCTTTCTATCAGTGCTTCTTCTTACATATATCTAGCCTCAGATGACGGCCGGCAGAGCCTCTATTGATGTTGTTTGAACGACAGGGTATCATAATGATTCTTTTTTTGGGGAAGTCGGAGCGCGGATGGCATGATCTCTTAAACAGGCGCATATTGTCTACTGTGTATGGTGTCCCAACTGTGCCGCATGATTACGAATTTGGAGGTAGCCTAGTTTGCGTTTCGTATCGTCCCGAATGAGCGAGTCCGAATGAACTACAACCATCACACATAAAAGCTGTGTACGGATTCAAGTTTTGCTGCATTTTGAAGCGTTCAGACCGCCAAGCTCACAACCTGGCTTAATCACTAACGCAAAACATATTTCGAAGATGACTGTCACTGAAATTGCCATCATCCAAGTACACGCCGGTATCACCGACTCTACCCTCCGAGACACCTTCAGCAGGGCCATCACTGTCCAAGATGCATGGCACGCTCGCGCCTTTCCCGACCGCCCCTCTTCCGCCTCGGCACGGGCCGTGGCTTGTTTCCGGGGGATCGACGACGAGACGCAGATACTTCTAACAACGAGCTGGGGCTCGGTGGAGGAGCATTGGGCATGGATCCTCAGCGACGATAACAAGCAGCAGATGGAGGGCTCAGACTTGACCAAGATCATCGCAAATCAAGGGCCGCCCAACCAGCCAGGCGGACTGATCCTTTTCCACTTGGATACGAACATCTTTGGAAATAACCAGGCCACTACCGGCAAAGACGTGATTGCACTCCTCGATAGCCCGGTCATCAGCGTTGAGAGATTCTTGGTCGACACTGAAAAGAAGGACAGCTTTGCCGCAACGCTCCAGAAAGTGGAGGCGAGTATGGAAAAGGTCGTGCATCCTCACTTGGTCAGAAGCGGGCGCAGTGTCGATCGCGAGACGGGAGGTGAGGAGTTCGTATTGGTTTCCGGGTGGTCCTGTGTCGAAAGTCATACGCAAGAGTTCGTTGCGTCGTCCCAGTCTTTTCTGTACAGTCAGCTTGTTGGTATCGCTTCGTCGGAGGAAACACAGCACTACAGACGGTTCCTGTAGTGCCCTCTTTGACACTTAGACACTTGGTTGGGAAAATGCGCAAGTCTCGGTCCAAGAATTGGTCGCTCATGAATGTGTATTCAGACCCTCTGCAAGGGGTTGGTTTGCGGTCGGTGAGACCTTGACAACTAAAGAGTCATCGCGCTGCTCCGAAGACCTGCACCTGCTCTCGCAAGTACTCCTGTTCCCATTCCCATGAAGGTTTCCCCCGATCCGAGAACGCCGTCTTAGTTCGCGAGAATTAAATGTCCAGCACCAGAACCAGGCAGTTGAAAATCGTCATTCATTCGCTTCCCATTCGCGCCAAAGCAGCCATCAGTTCCTCATTGTCGAGAGATTTAAGCAGTCTGCTTCTTGTTGCGCTTGGCAACGTCGGCGATGGTCAGGGCTATAGTTTCGCATGTCAGTTCCATCATTTTCTCGCAACTGCTTTTTCCTGTCTTGTCCATCTCTCTCTCTCTCGATCTATTATTCGGGGGTCGGGGAGCGCGTACAAGGAGGGAGGGAAGCCTTGAGCTTCTCAGCCTTGTCGGAGTCCTTGAGAACAAGGGTGTAGAGGTACTTCTGGCAGCGGACCTTGAACTTGATCTGCTGAGTAGCCTTGTTCTTCTTGATCCGGGCGGCTGTTGGGTGAAAGCGTCTCTGTTAGAAATTCGTTCGGTTTTCGCGACGGTGTTTTCTCAGGTAGGCCCTCAGCCAAACGTACCGGAAGCGTCCTTGCGCCGGCAGATCTCGATGAACTGTAGTTGAAATCAAAGTCAGCAAAACAGCCCATTTGCACCATGCATGCACAAATTCAGCATGACGACGGGCATTTTCGTACCTTCTTGATATCTCCGATTTCCTGAGGCATTTTGGCGACTTGGTGCTGGACTTCCCGTACTTGTGGTGACGACGACAACGGAGTTCAGGAGCGTGGATGAATTTTAGGTACTATGGAAATAATTTTGTGTGGGTTTGGGGCCTGGGCGGTGCGAGTGGCTTGGTGGGGACGCGTGCGGGCAATGGGCCGCTAACGCGATGCACCCTTGTTTCCGCTGTCACTTCCGCCAGATCACACATGCCGACGTTAGCGCAAGCTTCAGGTGTGGCTGATGCTGCACTTTTGGTAGCTGCGTCGACTTGGGCAGATGCAGTGACGCAGGGAGCTCGTGTGGCGTCGACTTACCTCAGTCCAACGAACTGACTGCAGGCAGTCACTCACCATTAAACCGTCTGGAACATCTGACGGGATTGCGCAGTTTCGCCTTCAAGCTCGGTCGCATCTGGTCGAGGCCTCGGGAGGACACGATTCCAGTTTGTGTAATCCAGATAGTATATAATCAAAAACTAATCACGCGGTCATAATCAGAGCTTCTTTTGTTCCAAACCAAGTGCCACCTCACTAGACAACTCAGTTAGGGCGTTAACGTTTTGTAGTAGTGCGCCTACCCCTCTTGCCTTACCACCGCTTATAACGCAGACAACCCTTTTCCGAACTACTCGATATGCCCACGGCACTAGATAAAGCGTTGAGATCACGAGTGAGTACCTCTTCACAACAACTCAACATCCAGAAGCAATCATGCTTGTCGAATCTCTTCTAATAGTTTCCGCGAGCAAGAACGCATTTCTTGGTGAGCTTCCTGTTTAACAGTCGGGCAGTCGACCGAAGCTTGACTAACCCCACATAGCGTTCGCCGGCATCGTGACGGGTGTCGCCGCATGGTCTATCTTTGGAGGCGAAGTGTTTCCTCAAGACCAGGCTGACCCAAAGGGCAATCCTGAAGAATGGACTCGCGAGGAGATGCGCAGATGGCTTGCACTGGTGAGTTTCCAAAGATTGTCAAAAGCTGACGCAAAACCCGACGCTAATGTTGGGAGCTAACTTTGATGATCACCAGCGTAATCTTCATCCACAAGATTCGGACACCCGGGAGCAGTTACTGGAAAGGATCCAAGCGAACTTGAGAATCCCAAGACAGTGAACTGGTCGTGCTGGAGAAATTGGAGGAACCCTATGATATGTTTATACCCCTTGAAGAATACCTAGCCTGCATTTATCTCTGTTTCATGTTCTTCATGACATTGCTATCTTCATAGCAGGCTGGCGATGGTATGGTCAGCTGGCTAGAGGACACATGCTGCTGAATCCTGTTCTCCCATCGTACTTGCATACTCGTGATCCCAACCGCTGAATACAAAATCATAAACCGGAAACCACACGATATGACTACATATAGACATCGGGAAATGCTCCTTAATGTCAACAGGAACCACTGTTTACGTTCGGAGATCTGTAAGGTGACCCGGGCCGGCAACATGCGAACAATCCAGCGTTGCGTCCGGGTTCGCGGGGAACCTCTACGACCGGGCTTATCGATAAGACTTAACCGAGCGGGGCGAGCGCAAGGAGAAGTAACCCAATCAACATGTGTAACTTCTAGTGTTCATGACTGCGCCATACACAGCAGGGTACGTAGCGGTACATGCCTGCAAGGAAGCTCCAAGCGGAACTGGGGCAAGGACAGGTTGTTGTTACTGTTTGTACCTTGTCTGGCATTGTGCTTATAACCAATGCGGCGGACAATCTGACACGGTCTTTTGGCTTTCATTGTTCCAACAAACAAACATTCCATTTGCGCATTCGGCGGAGCCTCTAGTAGACACGCCCTTATTGCGCGACGATGGAGTTTCTTCAGGTACGTTTTGCGAAATCCTTCTCCCTCGACATCCAAGGCGTGCACCGGCTAACATGGCACTCTCAAAACGACAGCGTCTCGCGAGGTTCCTCGACCGGCCTCTCTTTCCCTGGAAGAAGCTGATCATCGGTTTCTCTCTCGCCAACTACTTCATCGAAGGTTTCCTCGGTTATCGTCAGTATCAGGTCCTCAAGAAGACCAAGGTCCCCAAGGTGTTGGAGCATGAGGTGTCCCAGGAGGTCTTTGACAAGAGTCAGGTACGATATCTCCCAGGCTACGGGCCAACCGGCCACCATTCTCTGACACACGATACAGGCATACGGACGCGCCAAGGCAAAGTTCGAGTTTTTCAGCGGTATCTACGGTCAAATCCAAAACATCTTGTTCTATCAGTTCGACGTCCTCCCGAAGCTATGGTCATTCGCCGGCAACCTCCTCGTTCGGTTCGCGCCAGCCAGGTTCTCCGGCGAAATCTCGCAATCTATCGTCTTCGTTCTGTCCTTTGTCGTCATCTCCCAGATTCTCTCGCTACCGACTAGCCTCTACCACACTTTTGTCTTGGAGGAGAAGTTCGGTTTCAACAAGTCGTCTGCCAAGCTTTGGATTACCGACAAGATCAAGTCCCTGTTCTTGACCTTCGTCCTCACGCCTCCGATCCTCGCCGGCTTTTTGGCTATCGTGCAAAAGACTGGAAACCAGTTCTTCTACTATCTCTGGGTTTTCGTCGCTGGTCTCCAGGTTGTCATGATCACCATCTACCCGATTTTCATTCTGCCTTTGTTCAACAAGCTTTCTCCTCTTGAGGAGGGTGAGCTCAAGAGCAGCGTCGAGGATCTCGCCAAGAAGCTCAAGTTCCCCCTCTCCGAGTTGCACGTCATTGATGGTAGCAAGCGTAGTGCCCACAGCAACGCTTATTTCTTCGGCATGCCCTGGAAGAAGCACATTGTCATTTATGATACCCTAATTGAAAAGAGCGAGACCCAGGAAGTTGTTGCCGTTCTTGCACACGAGCTGGGTCACTGGAAGTTGGGTCACACCACTAGCCTCTTTGGCATCTCCCAGGTAAGCTGATGCTCCTTTGTTGTTAATCCCACTGTTTGCCATGAATTGTGACTAACAATGCACAGGCCCACTTCTTCGCCATTTTCTCTCTCTTCTCCGTTTTCATCAACAACAACTCGCTTTATACCGACTTTGGCTTCCACACGGTGCACCCTATCATCGTTGGATTCCTTCTCTTCTCGGACGTCCTTGGCCCTACCGATACCCTCATCAAGCTGGGCATGAACGTTCTCAGCCGCAAGTTCGAGTTCCAGGCAGACGAGTTCGCCAACAAGCTTGGTTACAATGCTGAGCTCGCTCGCTCCTTGATCAAGCTCCAGATCCAGAACCTCAGCACCATGGATGCTGATTGGATGTTCGCCACTTACCACTTCTCGCACCCCATTTTGACCGAGAGACTGAAGGCTCTCAACTGGCAGTCCACTGGAAAGGTGGAGGGCAAGGAGAAGGCCAAGGACAGTGAAGAGAAGACTGGTGTTGCTACTGCCACTGGGCGGGATGAGCTCTAAGTCAGTGTAGGATGATGCAAATGAGAAGGTGGATGAGGAATTGACAAATGAAGCTGATATACGTGGGATCACAAATTAAAGGAAATCAGCGCACTCAGCGAAGAGTAATCTACTTTATATTGCTTTTGTATCTTCTTGCTTTTGAATCTTCATCTTCTGATAGACAATCTAGAGAGAATCCGGCTTTCATTACCGAACAGGACGGAGTCCCTCAACCATGAACCTGAATCTTTTTATGCGGTCAATCATCGAATTCAGGGATGTGTTGTCGGGGTAAGACACATACACAACCCTAACCCTTGGTTTTCACAGCAGCAGCTGGCAACCGGGTGCAAAAAGCCCTCCCCGGACCCCGGCCGATCAATCGAACTTTGGACGGAGCCGATCCAGCAACCGCGCCCGCTCGTCGCGAACCACTCTATAGGATCCCCGAAACGCTTTGTCTTCGTCCCGGCGCATTCGGTCTCGCCCGGTCCTGTTCCACCCCCGCAATTCTTCAACGTCGACTACCACCACTACCATCATCGGCGACAACCACATCTGTAGACAAAATGTCCAGGATTTTCTCGTCGGCCCTCCAGGCTGCTTTCAAGCCGAGCGCTTTTCTTCCCAAGACTGCCACTCGGTACGCTGTTCTGCTCTTGCCTTCCCTCCCCACCCGCATGCCAAAACACAAACATAGTAACTGACTACTTCCCTAAATACAGGTCATTCTCCATCCTCCCCTCCCTCCGTCCCGCCACCTTGTCTTCCACCCCCAGTACCATCTTTCGCGCCCCCAACGCCATCACCGCGCCCTCGGCCTCCCCTAGTGCTACTACCGGTATCGACGGCGAAGCTCTCGACCTCCTCTCCGCCTCCTCCCTTATTTCAAGTCATCCGGCGCTTAGCGGGCTGGGCTCCCAGATCCGCTGCGGCCCGCGCCCGACGATGAGCGGGGCGACAAGGCTAGTGCAGAAGCGCAGACACGGTTTTTTGAGCAGAGTTAAGACCAAGAATGGGCAGAAGACGCTGAAGAGGAGGCTGGCAAAGGGGAGGTTGAGGTTGAGTGCTTAAGTGGTTAGATGCTTGACTGAGACCCGCGGGATGTGAATGAGTGGAAATGGAAAAAAAGGAGAAGGCGGAAGTAAGGGGACACAATGGAGGGTTCGAGGAGCAACTATGTCGACGACGGCTGCGGTACCCCTGGTCTGGCACGCTGGTTTCTGTTCAAATCAGGAGTCCATGAAGCTCCAGAGACGGTCAATGGATTGCGCTTGATCTCCTATCATTTACGATCCGAGACGAAATCGCATGCCGAAAAGCATATCGCAGCTACCTCCTCAACGACCACTCGACCCTGATAATCATGGCGACCTGGGGAGGTAGGTAATCTGTGGCCCTCTCTACTGGTACAACTGGAACCGGTCATGAAAGACTGCAAACAGCACGGAGGACCTTGGAGGGTTGCGAAATGGCCGGGATTTTGTGCCGCAAGCAGTCGATAACCAGATCAACCCGAACGGACCGCTACGAGAAACCTGTACACTATGATAAATACGACCTGTTATACCCACCACTTTTACCAGCTTTGCTTTGTACGATATTTCGAGATGTAAGAATTTTTTTTTTTTTTTTTTTTTTTTTTTTTATTATTATTATTATTCCTTTCTTCCACGCCTGGCGTGATCACTGTTGGAGCTAAAGAGCTAGGCAACATTGTGTTATGATTGTTCGCTCTGTTTCTGCGATACGACGCCGCCGCTTGTTTTGGTTTGAGTTCGGCCCTTCTTGAGTTCGGCCCTTCTTGACAGTTCTAGGATCACTTTTTGCTACCAAGTGGCAGCAGCTAAGAACATAAGGGCAACAAAGTGAAGATCACGTCCAAACATGTTAAGGCATCCAAGAAAGTGGTTTCCCCGGCGTTTCATTGCTACTATTCACAAAGCTATCTTCCAAACTTGTATTCACAAATCATGCCTTATTTTACTTTTTTATTGTTCTCACATTGCAACCCTTGATGCTCCTAATTAAGGTCGTTGCTATTGACAAAATTTACATCCTCGACAACCCACTGGTTCAAGCGAGACTCGAGCTCCTCGTCACTCACGTCGCTAGTTGCGACGTTGGATTCAGCCCTCTTCCAGTTGAAGCCACCAGACGAGCAATCGGCAATGTCCTCGAAGTAGTGAAGGTGGTCATCGCGTTTCAAGCCGAGGGTACCGGCGTTGCAGTCGATGCTGGCATAGCCGGGGCAAATCTTGACCTGGCTGGTGGTGGGCACAGCGGCCTGGATCCACCACTCGGGCGAGGTGTGGCGGTAGTTGAAACTGATGGGAGGGAGACGGGGCACGGGGTCATTTTCGTGGGTGACGCGGTACTCGTCGCCTGACTGGGTGGTGGTGAAGGCGGCGAAGGCCTCGTTGCCGACGCGGGGCGAGCCGAAGGTGTAGAGGTCGGCAGTGTAGCCGGCCTTGCGGAGGTAAGCGGCTGCGACGGTGGCGACGGCACCGCCGAGCGAGTGGCCGGTGATACCGATGCTGTAGCTGGGGTAGGCGGCCTTGGCGGACTGGACGGCCGCGGTGACCTTGGTCGCAACCTCCCTCCAGGCCGTGTAGAACCCGGTGTGGATGAGGCAGCCGCTCACAAGTTCATCGCAGGATGACTTGACGAAAACGACGCTGGACGGGTGTCAGTTGAGGTCCTGCTGTGGTACGAAATACAGACTCGGTGTTCAACTTACTCGGTAATCCAGTTGCGGACTGAAGAGGATCCTCTGAAGGAAACAGTGATGACCTTCTTGACAGGGTCCACCGAGACCAGGCCGCGAATATCAGTGGCGGTACCGCTTCTACTTTATTAGTCTTCATTGTCTCAACTCGGTTTGTATGGGGTCTCTTACGCGAAAGAGGCAACAGTCACGGCCTTGTTGCTGACTAGGGTAGGGCAAACGTTGTTGGAGCAAGCGATCAAATCGCCAGCAGCGTTGTTGCTGTTGCAATAGCTGGTGGCAGCTTGCTCAGCCCAGTAGGAGAGCTTGGAAAGCTCACTGCTGGTGACAACGACTGGACAAGGCTTGTTAGCTTCCGGTCGACATGAGGAAACGCCGTAGTCGTCGTGGACTTACACTGTCTCTTAGCCATACTTGGGCTCGTTGAGGGCGCGGCCAGACCGGTAGCCGCCAGGGCGGATGCCAGGAACAGAGATGCCTTCATCTTGAATGGGAGAAATGGTTATTCCAAAAAGAAGACAAGACAGTTCACGGGATCTGGCCCTTGTGAGAATCAGGAGGAACACTGAATCTGTGCCTGCTGCAAGGGGAATGTGAGAAGGGAGGCGGCGGGCATGTTGGTGATCTTTATACTCAACGCCATCCCCATCCAAGAACACAATGTGGCCGTCCGTCGAGGAACGTTGAAGAGGGGAACAAACATCCCTTCCACAACGCGGCCCTCTATGGACCCAACCACCCACCCAATCTGCTTACTCCCTGCTCCTCCCTCCCCGATGTATCGCCAGCTAAGATTTTTGTCTCAATTCTGCCACAACGATGGAGGGCGCGGCCAGGATCGACTGGGTAAGGCTTGTGGACATCGGGTCAGGAACACGGCAACTAACAGCCAAGGAATGCGGAGACTAATTTAGTTTGGCTAAGCGCAAAGGACCGAGCACAAGATTTTCAATAGAGCTATGTAACTATTGGAGAGGAAGTGGGTGCAGGACAAGAGGCACACCTCTACACTAGCGGGTTGTCGGAATAGATGTGCTTCCCGTGTATCATCTCCCGAACCTCAGCCTGGGCGAGAACACCACCGCCCATTTTGTGCCCGTTCCCTGATGATCATGGAGGGGATCATCCTCTGACTTTCCCTACAGGGACTTGGAGGCACGGCGGTCTGGTGGTTAGCACAGCCGCCAAGTGATATAGCTTCTGTGGACTACCTATGTGCGGTGGGAGTGAAAGGAGACCAAGGAGAGGAGGCCGCTGGAGGAGAGTGGACGGAAAAGGTTGTAAGATGTGATAGAGATCTGTGTGATGCAGAGAGCAGTGAACGAGTTTTGTTCAAGTGATCATCCTGATACCCGTTTCGAAGGTTCCCCTGCTGTTCTAAACTGTACATTAGGCGGGGACTATCCAAGAGAGTCCGCAAGACGGTAGTGTGTAGTGTGCTGTACCGAGATCGCAGCCACGTGCATGGTGAGGGATCAACCTTGACCAGATCGGGCCGTATAAGTGCAGGGCTTGGCTACCGTGTCAGGGTAGTCAGAGTGGTATTGGTGCTGGAGACTTTGAGAAGTATACGTAATGTGGTAGCGTCCGCGGATCTGAGTATGCGGCGTGATCAAGATGACGGTTGAGCAGCCCCAGATTCTGCACAAGGTGTGGTCGTTTTCTCGGCGCAGTGTACTGTTTGGGAATACTTCGTGAAGAGGGGAAACGCGGAGGAGAGAACGACGCTTCGGCACTTGACCGGCCAAGATTGAGAAAACTGAAAGTGTGAAAAGGAAAGGACGTGACAACCGCCGTTGACGGATACCACCTCAGTCGAGAGTCCAGCATCCGATAAGGTAACCCCATCCCGTGGGCGATCGGGAGATGGGAAAGAAAGAACGATGCAAGATGCAACAAGAGAAAAGATGACCAGCCAGTCGAGTCATTTCCATTGGAAGAGGAACAACCTCCACCTCAATGCCCAACAAGACGCTGTGTAAGCGGGAAGTGCTCCTTCCATATCAGGTCATCACTTCGCCGCTGGATGTTGATGTTGGTGCAGAAGAAGGGCAACGACTTCCGTTCAACAAACTTTCAAGCCTCCGCGAACACTGCAACTGCAACGAACGCCCCGCAAACCACGACTGATCATTGGTGCCCAAACGAAACCCTGATGGAGGCATATCTGGTCAACTAAGATAAGTAAGCCGCCGAAGAAGGCAGAGAGTTCAAAGAAGACTGAATGCTCTATAACAAACGCAATAAGGTATGTGCCGCCACGGTTAGGTTCCATGTTATGTGCAGATGACTGACGCAAAGAGAAGGAAGGACAGACGGCACTTTCATCTCACGCCAAGCACCGTTGTTTCCAGTTAGCGAGAGTGCTAAGATATCCATCCAACCAGACTAGTACTTTCTCTACACCGAAGGTCAGCCGACGAGAATGGATCCTGGGACCCATCCAGCAGGCTACCAGGGGCAGAACAAGCAAACACAAGGAGCGGGATAGTGGTCTGAGGAACCTCTAAAATCCCCAACGACCGTCAAATTCCCAACAACGACCTTCACCACCTCCACAAGTCCGACGAACCCCTCCAGGGCTCATGGTGGATATTCTCGCGCATATGAACATCGGGTGCGCCATCGCCGCCTCCATCATCTATCTGCCTTGTTTATACAAAAGCTTGCGGTCCAGGTGGTTCCCAAAAAACAGTACACACACGACCACTGGTTTTGGGTGAGCCCGTGTGTAGTCTTTTTTGGGAATCGCCTGCGGTCCTACACCCTCTTCATCATTCAGCTTCGACATCGCTTCGCCAACCCGCTCCCACTCACCACCGGGGCACACTACACTATCTCAGGCTTCATTGACGTGTACCTCCCCTCCTCGTGCCGGGAGGGAGTTTTGTCCGCTACCAGTCGAGCCTGCAGCGCACTACATCACCACCGAGGACAACCATCCCCAAGACTTCAAGCGAAGAATTAGGCGAGCTTAAAGTCAAGAGCAACTGCGCCATTGTGCTGCTGCCCAACTTTAAGGCTTCTCTGGTTCAAGAAGTTCGTCCGTACGCAAGTGTCACGGCGGCGCGTCCCCCGCCCCCTGCTGCTGTCCACCCACTGCCGCCGTCAAGTCAAGGCCGCCGTTACCGACCAGTAAATCCCTTGCCCTGCTGCCCCAGGCCCAATCATACCCCTTGCTTTTCCCGCCGTTATGTATTTCTCCGCATAAGGGGATCTTTGCTGTACATAACTCCGCTCAACAGATGCCAAATGCATGGAATGGCTAAAAAGGGGCATTCCTCCGGTGAGGGACCTCCTCCGGATCGCAACGTTGGCCAAGCATTTAGCTTGCTGCTTATGGCTACCAGAGCACGGCATTGACACAAGAGACCTATTTTCAAGCGGGGAGCATCTCAATTGATATCTCCCTCTGCCCTTCTCTCGATTTTCAGTGGAAAAAAAAAGAAAGAAAAAAAAACACGCAATTTCATCGGAAGAGCTGGCAACCTTCACAGTGGTTAGTGCCGCTACAGTGGTGGAAACATAATTACATACAGGCTTGGTTATCGGAGGAAAACCAGGTGCTTGTCAGACAACACTTGTGCTCATTTTCCTGTTCTGGACACCGTCAGTCATATGTTTGTATTCACGATGCACAGCAGATGGGCAAGCGAACGGGTGGTGGAACGTGGCGGCAAGGTCCGACTCGCCGGGCTCCACGCATTTGCTGTGTATGGCAATCCGGCCCCGGTTAGTTATGCCTTGTGTCTTGTTATGTCGTACAGCCTATTCCGTCGCCATGTCTATCCTCGCTTGCTATACGAAATCCTCCTGCCTTTTCTGGGGGGTTCCGGGTACAAGAACTTGTTCGTTTAGCACTTGGCTTCAACTCTGTCGACAAGAGATCATGGAATGTCCCATGGTCTTATTCGTGGAACCTTGTCGATAACCCACCTGGCCTCTCTTTTAGTAAGGTTGAAAGGATGGAAACACGGTACCGAGAGCGGTCAAGGTATGGCCAAGGCCACTTGAAATGGAGGCATGTGAACGCCGTCGATAAACTGCTCTTTTGATTTGAACAGACTCCCTTCCAACGGGTCGCTGTTCTTGAGCTTCCTTTTCTTTCGGGACGCCTTCAAGTTGACGAGTATTCAAAGTTCCGCAAGTGCATTTGTTAAGATGACTGTCCGATCGAACTTTGTGTGGCTCACTCTCGCCTTGAGCCTTTTCGACCTTAGCTGTAATGCAAGTCCAGTGCGACAAAGGACGGCGGTCCCAGATGGCTTCTATGCGGCTCCTTATTACCCAACGCCATACGGTGGCTGGGAAGATTCATGGAAAGACAGCTATGCAAAGGCGCAGGCACTGGTGGGCAAGATGACACTAGCGGAGAAGACGAACATCACGGGTGGAAGCGGTATGTTTATGGGTAAGTCCTCAGTCCAGCATACGAGTGTCGAACTGAGTTTGAGCTGACTGTAATATAGGGTAAGTAAATTCATCAAGACGGTTACGGAATTACTCGAGCACTTCTAACCAACGCACCAGCCCTTGTGTAGGAAACAGCGGTAGTGCATACCGTGTCGGCTTTCCTCAGCTTTGTTTGCAGGATGGTGCTCTCGGTGTGGGCAACACGGATCATAACACTGCATTTCCAGCTGGTATCACCACGGGAGCGACGTTCGACAAGGACCTTATTTATGCTCGCGCAGTGGCTATTGGCAAAGAATTTCGCGGCAAAGGAGCCCACGTTTTCCTTGGTCCCTCGGTAGGTCCCCTAGGCCGCAAGCCACTCGGTGGCCGCAACTGGGAAGGCTTCGGTGCCGATCCCGTTCTCCAAGGTATTGCCGGTGCCTTGACTATCAAGGGTGTCCAGGAACAGGGTGTTATTGCTACCATCAAGCATTTCATTGGAAATGAGCAGGAGATGTATCGCATGTACAATCCGTTTCAAGCAGGATATAGTTCGAATATTGGTAAGTGATGTGCGATGGACCGTCAAGTGTACAGTCGGATGCTGACCCAATAATTGTAGATGATCGCACCCTGCACGAGCTTTACGCAAGTTGCCCACCGAACATTCCCGGGATTCGCAAAGACTAACATAGCGCTCCTAGTTATGGCCATTTGCTGATGGTGTCCACGCCGGCGTTGGCGCGGCCATGACATCTTACAACGCCGTCAACGGCTCGGCTAATTCTCAAAACGCCTACCTTATCAACAACTTGCTCAAGGATGAGCTTGGGTTCCAGGGTTTTGTCATGTCGGATTGGCTTTCTCACATTTCCGGAGTCGCATCAGCACTGGCCGGCCTTGACATGAGCATGCCTGGAGACACCCAAATACCTCTCTTTGGTAATAGCCCCTTCAAGTTCCATCTCACGGAGGCTGTCTTGAACGGCTCCGTGCCAGTGGACAGGCTAAACGACATGGCGACCAGGATTGTGGCCGCTTGGTATCAGTTCGGCCAAGACAAGAGCTTCCCAGCTGTTAACTTTCACTCATACGTATCGAGTGAAAAGGGACTTCTATATCCAGGCGCTGTTCCGGTCTCGCCCATTGGTAAGGTTAACTGGTTTGTGGATGTTCAAGCGGATCACGGCTCGGTCGCACGCCAGGTCGCCCAAGATGCCATTACTCTTCTGAAGAACGACGATAATTTCCTGCCCCTTTCTACCAAGTCATCCCTCAGGATCTTCGGCTCTGATGCTCGGGTTGACCCTGCTGGCCCCAACGCTTGCGGAAGCCGCGCCTGCAACAAGGGCACTCTGGGAATGGGCTGGGGCTCCGGCGTTGCGAACTACCCCTATTTTGATGACCCCGTCACTGCCATCAAGAAGCGGGTCGAAAATGTCAAGCTCTACGACAGCGATGACTTCCCCCACACACTCACTCCTTCGCCCACTGATGACGACATTGCAATCGTCTTTATCAACTCCGCCGCGGGCGAGAACTCGTTCACCGTTGAAGGCAACCATGGTGATCGCGACAACGACAAGTTCTCCGCTTGGCACAATGGAGATAAGCTCGTCCAGAAGGCTGCGGAGAACTACAAAAATGTCATAGTTGTTGTCCACACAGTCGGCCCCCTCATACTCGAGCCCTGGATTGACCTGCCCTCCGTCAAGGCCATCCTCTTCGCCCACCTCCCCGGCCAAGAAGCCGGCGAATCGCTCGCCAACGTTCTCTTCGGCGACGTCTCACCCTCCGGCCACCTCCCCTACTCCATCACCAAGAATGAGAACGACCTCCCTGACAGTGTAACCAAGCTCGTCAAGGAAATCATCGGCCAGCCCCAAGATACCTACAGCGAAGGCCTCTACATCGATTACCGCTGGCTCAACAAGCAAGGCATCAAGCCCCGCTATGCCTTCGGCCACGGTCTGAGTTACACCACCTTCAACTACACCGACGCCCACATCAAGATCGTCAACGCCCTCTCCTCCGCCCTGCCGCCCGCTCGCCAGTCCAAGCCCTCCGTTGCCATCCTCTCCACCGAGATACCGCCCGCTTCCGAAGCCTACGAGCCCGCCGACTTCTCCAAGGTCTGGCGCTACATCTACTCCTGGCTATCCAAGTCCGACGCCGACAAGGCCTATGCCGTCGGTACCTCTTCTTCTTCTTCCAAGTCCGGCTCCCAAATTTACCCCTACCCTGAGGGCTACTCGACCGTGCAAAAGCCTGGTGTCCCTGCCGGCGGCGGACAGGGTGGTAACCCGGCCCTCTTTGACACCATCCTCGAGCTGGATGTGACTGTGCAAAACACTGGTTCTCGACACAAGGGTAAAGCCTCTGTGCAGGCATATGTCCAGTTTCCCACGGATAGCGAGTACGACACGCCTATTATCCAGTTGCGTGACTTTGCCAAGACGAGGGAGTTGGGCACCGGAGAGAGCGAAACGGTTACATTAAGGCTGAGGAGGAAGGATTTGAGCGTGTGGGATACGCAGAAGCAGGATTGGGTGGCTCCTGGTGCCTTGGGGGCTAATGGGAAGAGTAAGCGGTACATTGTGTGGTTGGGTGAGGGGAGTGATAAGCTTTTCACTAGGTGTTTTAGCGATACTTTGGTTTGTGAAAGGGGGGTTGAGCCACCTGTTTGAGAGGAGAGGGTTGTTTAACAACCCCTCAAGCCGGAGAGTCGACTCCTTGACGCGATTAATTCAATTCAATGATCATAGTCCGCAATATACCCTTAAGTTGCCGACTGAGACAATGCCATGCCGATACAGGAAGAGAGTTTCCGTAGCAAGAAAGGTATCACAAGCCATGATCCAAAGTAGCCCAGGGGATAAAAGCATTGAGTTCATCTCCCCGTCGACATCCCCAACCGACGTTTAGTCTGAACAACAGTATGTTGTGTACTATGCAACGTTGTGATCCAGCAATCATATAACCAAACTTCTCGACCTTCTCATCAATTAGTTACCTTCCCAGAAAGCCTGACTCTACCAAATCAGTAGAGACAAGATTGTGGGGGTATAAGGGATGGATGAATGAAGGACAGGGCAAGGAGATTGGGAAGAAGAAGGGAAAGCCTTTCGGTTGCAAGGCGTGTCTGATGAGGTACAAGTGGAGGAAAGAAAAATTGAAAATAGAAAAACCTGATGTATTGAAGAAAGGATCATTTCATACTAGGTACTCTTCTTCTTCTTCTTCTTCTTCTTCTTCTTCTTCTTCTTCTTCTTCTTCTTCTTCTTCTTCTTCTGGAGCTAGTCATATCCTTTCCCCTACAGTCAAGCAGTCTTGTTTCCTGTTACTCCTTCGTTTTCTCGTATCCTCATAACCATCATCTCTTGACCTGCTTTTTGTTCACCCTCCTCGCTTTTCCAAGAGAACGAAACTTACTTTCCAGGCTTTGTGCAGACCCTTGGCTTTTTGGACGCTGAGAAGCCGTGCAGCCACACAATCCAAACCCCATAGTCATGGCGGCCGCGACATTGCGATGGCTAGGTATGATTATTGTGTCAATGCACATTAACGTACCGTCTTGGGCACATTTGTATAGTACGCTCCGCGTGCCACTTTGTATGAGATTTCTCCTCGTCTATACTTTGGCTAGGTCTATTCTATGTTCCATCACCTAATTGGTGCGCATATTGAGTTCTTCACAGTAGATAAAAGCGAGTGATTACCTCAAACATACACCGATACTAGATTTCATTTCTTCAGTTTTTTCGTCTTTTTTCAGTCTGTTTTTCTTCAGTTGAGCACCTTGACGGCCACCACCAGGGCTGAGTGAGTGAGTATGCTCATGACCTAGCATCCAATCCGTCTCCTACCATAGGTATTTCGGTTCTCGTCACACCCGAGATATCTCCTCTACATTCGGACTCCAACGCCTTCTCCGCATTCTCCTCAATATCTACCATAGATCCCTGGATTCTCCAACTCCAATTCAAGTCAATCTCCTCTCACCCGAATGTAACCGAACCCCAACCAACACTGTCGTCAGCCAGGTCAGCTCTCTTCGATGGAACCGTACATATGTAAAAAGGTCAGATCAGCCCATGATGCATTGTGGCGTCCACATTTATTCTTTTCGCTACTATTCTTCGCTTCTCTCTCGCTTGTCTGTCACGTGTCACTTCGCTCCGTTACGAACGGCATGCAGGCATGCAGACGGAGGGAGCACGCAGAGATGCAGAAGGAAAGAACCAACAACGGGAAAACATCAAAATTTTCCAAAAGTCTGGAACGCTCGATTTCTGATGCAAATCTAGAAGCTTTGCAACTTTCTCGGATCTTGGTGGATGTTTGAAGAGCAATGACAACAGCCTTTTTGTTTCTTCCTTACTCTTGTCTGTTGCCTATGTCTCACTTGAGCAGCAAAAAAAAAAACAAAAACGCTCGCGAGCTGCGGATTATATACAAGCTGGTGCTAAGCTAGTTGATGCTATTATAACTGTTGTAAAAGGTAGGGTGTGATGGATTTTCTACATAGAAGATGAGCGTGGACACGAAAGGTGAAGATTATCATTATCAATACACATCTATTTTGGGTGATGCGTGACGTGTGATTTGTAAGTAAAACTGTCTTGGTTGTGCTGTGAAAAACTTCGCGTGTAGAGTTATAGATGAATTGATCGCGCCTTTCGTTCTGGTCTCATGAAGGTTGAGATAGGTGGTAGGTATTGGCAAAAGCGAAATATTCTAAGATAATCCGGCAAAGCTTCGTCGGTTCGAAGACTCTTGTTGTTGTTGCTGGATCTCCTATAGTTGATATTCCAGCCTGGCATGTCATGTTGTTACTTCGCGGATTGGCTTCTAGCAAGAACAATGATGAAGAATAAAATATAAGTCGAGTCCTTGTATCAGATCAAGACTCGTCGTCAAACCAGAGCTCTAGTATATACCGCGGAACACATTCCGTAGATGATCATCGGTTGTCATCGATGATCCTTCGCGACACCGAATGGATCGTCGGTCGTATACTGTGCAGGTGATATTTCATCTCGATGTCTTGTCACTCTCTGTGTAATATCAAGACTGTAGTATACTGTCTCGTTTCGCCGGTTGATCACGAAGATAAAGCCCTTCCGTGATATTTTCGCGACATTTTCAATTCTGGTAGTTTGGCTTGCAGTTGTTTAGCCTCTTTCATTCTTCCGATTTGTTTGTTCGTTCGTTCGTTATTAGGCCAAGATTCTCAGGGTCTATAGTCCCGAACTCCCTGCCACTCCTGCTTACCTTTCCTGTGGTGCAGTACTGTATCACCAATCTGTCTAATTCTAAGGGATCCCGATGATGTAAGTTACCTTCCTTCACTCGTTTGTTCGCTCTCGACTTGAGCGAGTCCCTTGAATGACTTGCGAAGTAGTTACTGCGTATCTCCAAGTCGATAGTCATCTCTCCAACGGGTGGTGTACAATATAGTGTATATACCTTTTGCCCGGTGCCCCTCGCACAAACAATGCCACTCTTGGCAATAGGCAAATGGTGTAAGCCAAGCTAAGCTATCCGTGGCTGTCGGTCATTCAGTCATATTGTCCGTTAGTCAATGTCCTTCAAAGTGGATTCTCGTCAGTTTCGGTCGAGCTTCGATCGAACCCAACGCAGGCGGACCCAGTCTGGATCGCACACCGTATCGATGTAAAGCACAACACTGACGCCAACCGGCGTTCTTTGCACCACCTGCTAACAGAGGAGAAGACCATGCGGAAAGTGCCCCGTATTCCCCGTATCACTCGTGTCTCGTGATCCTATCCGTACTCTCATTTTGTGGGCGTCCGGTGTATACAGATCCGAGGGACGGGGCCCTGGGTAGCTAGTTTTGGTCCAGGTCCGGCCAGGCCCATCATCAGGGCCGGGAAGGGACAGGTTATACGGAGCTGAAAATGGGTTGTTCATGTTATGTCATGAGAAGCAAGGAGGAGGGATGAACCTGACTCGCCTGTTCTGTTCCTGGAGCGTCTGACTCTGGGGAGGGAGTACAATTTGAGACGGAGATGACGCCGAACGGAGACGGTGTGAATGTCTGGGTTGGATGACGGCGTAGACAGAGAGGACCAGGGCCTGACACAGGGTCAGCCGGTCGCCGGTGAGCTGTGGGCGGACTGGACGGCTGGAGGCGGGGAGGCTGGAACTGGGGACTGCTACCGAGGCTGCCAAGCTGGAGATTTGATTGGGGAAGCTTGAGGAAAACGGTGAAGAAGAAGAAGACCACCGAAGAAAGTGGGCTTGAGGCTCTGAACGGTGCAGTGATGGTGATAAAGAATGATCTGTTGGTGTTTGGCACTGTGGCATCAGCGTCTGCGGGGCAGGTCCAGAAGCAGCAGAATGGAAAGCTTGGCTTTTGCGGAGGAATGTGGGGTTGGCCGCCACTGGAAGCGGGGGAGGCAGGGAGGAGAAGAAAAAGATCGGTGATCGTTTTTTTTTCTCTCTCCAATTTTTTGCATCCCTACAGCTTTTTTTTTTTCATAGCTTAATTTCCTTGTCGTTCGCTTGCCCGTGGATAATGGCACTTGCTTGCAAAAGCCCTTGGGTACCGACTGGTACATCCAGGCGAGCCGGGCTTCACCGCTCTTGGCATCAATGGGGAAGTCCCTTGAAGAAAAAGATTGAAAAAAAAAATGCGTGGTCGTGATGTTCGCTCATTTATCGATCGTGGGTTCTGGCCATAATCTTGTGAAAGATGACCATTCCACAACAGTTAATGCCTTGCTTCGAACTTGACTGGATCAAGACTGACCGACCCCTTCTTCCATGTACCGGAATTTTTTTGTGTTTGTTTTGTTTGTTTACTTTGTGATCTCAAGACTCAGGGGTAACAAGAGCAAGAGCACAAAACAAAACAGAGTTCAAGACACAAAAAGAGCGACTCCAGAAAACCACATCATCAGCCAGCAACCGTTTCAGATATCCCAAATCCACAATGTTCAGGAGATGTGGGTAAGCATTTCCGAGTTGTGGATTGGTTGATTGCTGCCCAGTGTTGTGCTGTAAAAAGTGGCTTTCGGAAAACGGGGTCCGCTGCCGCCGCTAAAGACGGAAGGTAACAGTGGCGATGACAGTAAAGACGGCGATGCATACACTTTCACCGTTTCTCGTTAGGCTCGCCCCTAAGCAACTGACTCAAAGCCGAAGCTAATCCCAGTTTGTGATGATGATCGTCGGGATCTGTGGCTCACTGGTTGCTGTCTCCCCTTTCGCTGTCCCGATGATGATGATAAGGCTGCTGTCGTGGTGGTCGACCATCACGAAACTTGAAATGAAGTGGATGAGCCCCAGATGTGTCAAGTTGGCGACGCTTCACATAATCATATGAGGTGCTGGATTGCCCAGGTTTCGCTTCACTTCTGATCTTAGCGTCCGATCGTTGTCTCGAGCTTCGTGCAGCGGTATTGCATATTAACATGGTCGTTGTCGTCGTTCGTGATATTTTTGTTATTCCCGATAAGTGGCTGAGGTCTGGACTGTAATCCCAAGAAGGCTTTTGCTCGTATGTCCTTCGTAGTTTCGGCAATATGTCATCCGTACCACCTATAAAACAGTGTGCGTTACGTGCCCTCAGTCAATCAGAACACCGCCCCGGCCGGACCCCAGAAGCCGCTGCGGAGAAGTCCCGCCCCGGCCTAGGGGAACCACACACAAAAGCGGCATC